ACCCCAAAGGGCAAATCCAGAAACTGAGTTTGTTTTGTGGCTAACAGGTTTTCCTACTTCAACATGTTAGAGCAGAAAGTCACTAGGAGAGAGATACTCATGGATCCAGAACTACAGTTGGGTATATGTTAGATTTTGGATTAAAGCTCATCTCCACAAGCACAGAGGAGAGTGGAGGCAAAACAGCAGGTGGGGGAACCCAAATGACCTACTTAGAGAATGGACACCCTGTCTGGCTCTTCCAGGGCTGCCCCAGCAGGGCACCAGCCCCATGGGTCCAGGTATGAAACCCAGCAAGATGGATTCTCCTCCCATGGCAGGAGCACCTGTGGGACCAAGGCGGTCACTGCCTGGGGGGTGGAAACCACGGAGGGATGCAGTGGGGGAGCGTTTAAGGATTCCATAAAGCTTATCATGGGGTGTTTAGGACAGACACTATAAAGGCAGAGAAAAGGAGGTATTTAGGTGGTTTAGGGAGTAACAAACATGGAAAACTAGGGGTATAAGGGGCTGGCTGAGCGTGAACCAGCACCCGATGAGTACACTTGTTGGTTGTGCCCTGCGCTTAATCATCACAGTTTACCCTGTATCTTACCAAAATTCCTTTCCAACTATCTTCCTAGGGGAGGGACTCTCTGTTCTGTGTGCACATGTATGTGGAGGTCTGCGTGCCAGCAACTGGAGTCAGATGAGGGCTCAGAGTGCCTGTGTGTCTGTGGTGGCAGCAATGGGAGCGAGCGCAGGTAGGCAAGTCAGTGTGCAATCGCTAGTGAACATCAAGCTGGATCAGCCAGTGAATAGGTGAAGTGACCTGGGAGCACGAGGTGCGTGTGTGTCTCTAAGGCCGAGACCCCACAAAGGAACTGGCTACTGGAGGGACCAGGGAGTTCCTCTTTATTATTATTGTTGTTGGTATTGGTCCCAGGCAACTGCATGCTCAGCATTGCTACTGACTGGACTCGGTGACAATGGACTTGGAGCTGTGGCAGCCTTGCTATAATGGGTGACTGGGTTCAACCTCCTTACCTAACAACATTCATTTTAGAGGATAATGGTAGATATACTACAGAAAAAAAGGGAAGGAGGTAATCAAATTGCAAATGGTATAAATAGGAGAGATAATGTTAGCTACACTTGACCTCAGATAATCCACGCCCAGGCAGCCTCAAAATATTATTAGTCAATCCAGCTGTGCAAAAGGAAGACCTTCATCTCTGTCAGATAGTTGTCCCTGGACAGTTTGCAAATGCCTTGCAGTTACCAGGCAATCACTCACAATCTAGCCCTGATCATTACCTCAAATACTTGATAAATTAAAGAGTGATTAAAACGGTGAAAAAATCCTATCACTCATTGTATTGGCTCCCATACGGCTAATTCTTTTACCCGCCTCTTACCTTTAAGCCTCTCTATTAAATATCACTTGCTCTGGTTAGCATTTATCATATTGAGTTTTCTCATGGCTTTCTTTTTTCACGATTTTTCTTAGGCTACTAACATATTTTCCAAAATCACAAGAAAAAAGTTCTTCTGTGTAGGTAGCCACCATTCATTCTGCTGTTGTCTAATATACCTGAGGTTTTTTGGATGACCAGTACTTCAGTCTATTTTCTAGCAGTTAAGTGGGTGATGCTATATTCCCAATCATAAAAACTTTTTCATCTGGGAAAGGAAGAACAAGATACATGCTGCTAAGCATCTCAGTTTAACCTAGAATTAAAAATCAGTTAATAGAAATGCCCATTCACACAGTTGCTCTGCTTCCAGGGGCAGAATAAAACTGCCACTTCATGCCATTCTACCATTGGACTGTCTGCTGTATTTTGCATTTTTTCTGCAATTTGTCACACTTACGTAAAAAAGGGATATTCTCCTGAACACAGCTGCAATTTCTTCACAGGGTGCTTGCGTTTGCATTTGTGCAGACAGTTCCTTTCTAGCCCCAAAGAAACAGGAATTGCACCTTAGGTTGCTGCCCTTTCAGTTCTTCTCTAGGGCCATTGTTGTATCAGTTAATAAATCTGGGATTAGATACCTAATATTGGAGCAAAAATGCTGTGGCACAGGACTTGAAATGTTGAACCTGAACAAATATATATTGTGAGTTCAGACATCTTGCAAAAATGTGCTTTTGGGGAGAGGGAAAAGGTAAGTTTGTCCTTGCAGGCTTTATGTGAGATCTGGTATTCTCAGTCTGAAATACTCTATAATTGAAACTAGCCTAAGTACTGCATGCTGATTTGACCACAATGATCTCATTGGCTTGATGTTACCCATCAAATGCTTGTACCACCAGCCAGGGCAACACCACACCAGCCCCAGCCTTAAGATTATCTAACTCGTACTCCTCCTTAGAGCAGATTGGCAGCACAAGGCTGTTTTATACACACTTATACCAAAAAAGCAAATCAATACAGATCAAGAACAACACATCCGGCAGCATAATAATCATCTTTTTCCAGTATAGAACCAAACCATCATCTGCAGGGGATTACGGCCATTCTTTCTTGTTCAGGATAGCAGCTTAGTGGGAAACAGGCAAGCTGCAATGTGAGACAAATCCTCGAATCTAGAGGTCAGCAGAGTCCTTACTCTTACCATCTCTACCAAAATGAGCTTACTAGCTAGGATCTGGAAGCAAACACCCCAGACTATTAATAATGACATGGTGGGGGCAATAAAAAGAACAAATGAGTGGAACAGATTAACAGGAATTCAGTTTATCCCTTTGTTACTGAGCTGCTTATTCACTCACAAAGAGTTCTGTACTAGAAAGGGGAGCAGGATACCGCACTTGGGTTTCTCCAGCTACTCTGATTAGGTGAGTCATCTGTTCTGCAGCATCTGCTCTGTTGGAAGTGGAATAAAATACCGAGTACTGATATAATCAATGAAACTTACTGTTTTATTAACGTAATTCCTTAATATATATGATGTATTTAACGATGCTAACATTTATGCTTTTACACAATTATATTGTGGTTGATTTTGTTATTATATCTCTGGAACAGCAGTTATATATACATATACATATCTAAAATTAATAGCTATGGACACTAGTGATTCATATAATAAATATTTTAATGTATTGTGCAACACAGACCTGTTCGAAGCTTGATCTTTACCCTTGTTGTTTTTGTAGACTGAGCTTACATTACAGTAATCAATTACTGGGTCCTTTACAGATTACAGTATGAAATTCTTCTGAACGTGCAGTGAATATGTGTTCTAGCACTGATGTCACCTAACTTGCAAAACACTTATCTTTAAAGATGAAGATCTAAACTACATTTTTGCACTTAAAGGGGCTGAAATTACGTACTCAAATAACAGTAGGTGAAAAATAAGGCATTAAAGAGTCTTTTAAAAATACAATGTTTACCACAATATACTCAAATAACAGTAGGTGAAAAATAAGGCATTAAAGAGTCTTTTAAAAATACAATGTTTACCACAAAAACTATAGGAGAAGTTGTAATGGAAAAAAAAATTACCACAACAAAAGAGACAGATTTTATATAGTAATTATTTCAGAGTATGAAAAGTCTTATAATTAGTTTGTAACTTTTAGCACTGAAAAATTTTGTAAAGACAAGTGAAATACGATTATCGGAAAAACAGCAGCTGAGATCTGAACATGGAAAGTAGCAAAATTTCAGCTGAAAATCTAACTTATTTGGAGTAAAAGCTGCTTACAAAATTATTAATGTTTCGCAATGGAGTATTTTCAAATTTCATTGTGTATGTTTTCATATTAGTCTGTACAGACGTACAGCACCAATTTAAACTGCACAGAAAGACCAGTCACATGAAGTAATTTGTCAGACTGGGGTGTGCACACTCCAAAGTCATCAATCTGCATTACTCTTGGAACCGTGCCTGAGCGCTGTAGGACAAATCTCATTTGGTTCCCACTCAGCACTGGGCACGAATAGCTCTATCCACGAATAGAGCTTGTGATTGCAGAATAGGAATGGAAGTGGTTATGTGAAGAACCATGTCCCAATCCCTTCCAATTTAAAACACCAGAATTGCTGGGGTTTGCTAGATGATATAATGCAAATGAGTTATAATCTCAATAATCTTATTTTGGGGTCTGAGAAATCTCAATTAGGTTGCCTCAGAAAATGACAGGTTCATGCTTCATAACTCTTTTAAGTAATTTACATATCAATATCAGCTGGAGACAGCATTCCACAATTAAATGAATGTTCTTTCAGAACAGAACAGTTAGAATTGAATGTTCATTGTTTCTACCAGACTAATGCATACATAGAAGCTTAGTGGACATGTGTTGGAAAGCTTGGCTTTTTTCCAGTGGTATCAGTTGTTCTAACAAAACATTTTGTCTTCCATGGAAAACATCCTCACAGAGAATCACAGATTATTCACATACTAATGTAAACTGAGCCATAGCAGTGTGCTTTAAAGAAATAATTCAGAATACCCCAAATTAACCTGCTGTTTTGTGGGTGTCTTTCAAGAACAGGTCGCGCCATTTTTAAAGTAAATATTCATGTATTTTACCAAAATTTGAATGGAATTCTTGAACAAAAAGAACAAAGCACCAAATATTACGTAGGTTATTTTTGTTTTCAAACCTTGTTCCATACATGTTTGCTAGTATCAAAGATTACACTAGGAGATTTTTTTCCCTGAAGAAAAGCAGATGCTGTTTACTCTGGAAGTTTAGGACCACATCTTCAGCAATGTAAATCAGATAGTTCTACTGGAGATAATTGAACTGGGCTTGGAATACATTCTAAAATCCCTGTTATGCATTACTGCAACTTTAAAGTTTTCTTTTCTTTGTTGTGCTAAAGCATTACATTTTTAATGATTCCTTTATTTGTAACAGCAATCAATAAAGTAGTATGTCCAAGAAAAATGCCTTACAAACACCCTTTGGGTTAGAGTAATTTGAGTTTTTTGTGTGCCCTTACTTCATACCTGCTGTGCGCTTTGTAAACTGTTGCCACTACTTCTCTCTCTGAGGTAAGGTGGACCATGAGTTCCTGATTAGCCATTTTCTATACCTGCATGGAACAACACAATGCCAGCAGCGAGATGGAACGTGTATCGTCCTCTGAATGTATAACCGTTGGTGATGAAGCTCTCATCAACAGCAGTAGGTAAGAATTCATGGTGCGTTTCACTCTTGGATTTCTGCCCCTGTAGTAATGATTAAGCTTGGAAGAATGGGTTAATCAAATAATTTGCAAGAGCAATAAATGAAAAAAATATGTGTATAAATGAGGTTTCAGTTGATATTCAATCAACGATATACTTCAATTTAGGAAGTGCCTCACTTACTAAAATAAAAAAAAAAAAGGAGTTCTCAGTATAAATTCCTGTTCTTGCCATGTTATGGCTACTTTCTATTGTAAGGCATTACTTGGACTCTGAATTTTAGGGAAACAATAGGACAGAAACCCTGCCATATGATGAAATCTCAGTAATTAATTTTATTTTCCTTTTAGTTAAAACTGAATTAGTGCTTTTCTACCCTGCAATAAGGAAGTGGCATGCTTAAAGAGCTTTAGAGACCCAGGCCTTAAAATTTTAAAACAAACTGAAAGCTTTAGAAAGACGTTACAGGATTATAACCACTTGCATGTATATTGTAAGTTATATGTATTGCTTCCTAGCACTGATTTGATCACCCCATGGCTGAAATAGTCAGAGCATGCCTTCAAAGCTTGGGATAGACATAAATTGTAACAGCATGCTATTCAAGCTTAAGAACTTATGTAGTCCTTTTTGGGTACTTAAGTACTTCCATAGACAGGTTAACCAGACTAGTAAATAATTTCTAAGTGAAATGAAAGGGTGGATTAGTTGTTTTAGCAGGGCTTATACTTTCCTATATATAGCTAGAAGAGAGTATTATGCCATTTCTAAAAGCGCCTCCTTCAAATTATGCCCACTGACTGTACTTGTTCTGTGAACTTCTGGAAAATATATGATATATATCTTTCTCAAGGATTTGGCTAAGGTATCTGCCAAAGACAAATTTGCTAATTTACAAATGAGATAATACATTTAATACTTCGACAGTTGCACCTCTGAGGTGGTATGCAGGGATTTTTTTGCAAAACCAGTCCTCATCACTATGAAAAAGCTGTACTTTGTATGCCACTCTGCAGCAAATACAAGTGATTTGGCAACTCACTCACTTCCTGACTCCTCTGTAAGCCTTACCTTGACCTTAAGATTTCCCAGTTCTTCTCTGAAACTGAATATATTTAATCCTTAGAAGCCCAGTGTTCTTAGTTCTCTGCAGTGAGACAATTCGGTGCCTCTGGGGCCAGAGGAGTTATAGTCAAAAAACCCAATCTTTCGGTGAGGAACAGAGAGCTAAGAAGATGACAATTTGGCCAGGACGTCTTAGATTATAATTTTTCTTGGTATATCCCTGAAAGAGATTACTGCAAGAAAAGTACACGTTTGACTGATAAAAAGAAAATGAATGGATGCTTCTGAATTAAAAGACAAAAAAAGAAGGAAAGGACAAATGTACACCTGTATCCCAACAGCATCTTTTCAAAATGCTTAGAACTCCTCTCTATTTTTATCTCAGACAGCTACCAGTATTCTCCATCCAGACTGAGTTTTGCTTTCTGGTGTAACTCACTGGTGCTCAGAACTAAACTAGAAGCCTGAATAAATGTCTCTAGCTTCCTCCCTCATAGAAATTGTACCAGCTTGAAGATACATGCCCAAGCCTACATTATTTTCACAATGACTCATCTCCAATAGTAGCATATTACTTGAGAATGAAGTTTACTGAGATGCTTAAGCATTATTTTTTATGTACAATTTAAATTTCCTCCAGAAGTATATTCAAAAGCTGTAATTTTGCAAAGCATTAAACACTACTCATCAAGATACCTTTGAGAGGGTCTAATTAATATTTCATATGATTTCCTGCACCTTGCAAATCCCTCTTCAAAACTGAATACTTTCACGGGTTGCTAAACCATCATTTTGCCTTTGCCTATAGTAGACCAAAAATGATGGGGCTAATGCTCATACTGGTGCAAATCAACAGTAATCATGCAGGTGTGACTGCTACAGTAGGCATACCTGTCACAACTATTTTTTCCCTCTGCGTACAGGTAAGATTTTCTTCCTGGGAAGATGTACTGGCTTGGACCTATAACAAACCTGCAGCATGTACAGAAGCAGTGCTGGGAAAGAGGAAAGGAAATATGGAAAAGAAAATTAGTTTGCTTGCTTTGGATTCTGTTTATAAAAATAAATCTCGAGTCATCAGAGGATCTTGAACGATGACACTGCTTTGCCATATGCATCATTTCAAGACTAAGCAGCCAGTACTCATATACCCAGATACTGGGTATGTACTCACATACTGGCTAAGCAGTACTCATATATCCAGAATCCATCTTGCAGTTTCCTCAGCCACATTCACGTCAGAAAGAGAGGCAATATTTTAGAAAAGAAGATCACAGCAATAAATTTGACTTTCCTATTAGAGTAGCATAAGTTCATGGGCTTCTCTGTAAGTCAGAGCTCACTGGAAGAAAAGCATGTCACAAGAAGTTCTTTTCATATTTTAATTTTTTACATCTTGAATAAATACATCTGAGTTGTACATACCTAAGGAAAATGTCTCTGTAAAGATAAGTATTTATTAATATTCAATTTTGATGTCTCTCTAACATATTGCTGTGTTACTGAAATGTGATTTGTTTACAGCATAGAGTAACACAGCATTAAAATGGCATATTTAGTTTGGACGATGATAACAGTTTAGATAGCAGCCCCAAAAAAGTAGTTTGGGCATGGGCATATTTCTGGATATATAAGCAGCGACCTTAACAAGGACTTGCACACTTGTCAAAGTATAGAAAATAATTATTTTTCATAGAAGTTAATGCCTTGTGCTGTGCAGTTAGTCACTGTATTAACATCACCTCTCAAGCAAGTAGAATCCTGTTGAGTCTTCTTTAATTGAGTTGGTTAGAAACTGAGCCACCTCCTTGCCATATAAGGAAGAGATTAATTTTTTTATTGGATTGTAAGAGCCTGCTGAAAATGTTATGGTCTGTATTACTCAGAAGGTCAGAGAAATTGCTCAGAGAAGCTTTCTCTGGCCTTTAAATGCATATATTACCTCATCAGCTACCATGTAAAGAAATCATGGTGTTAATTTACACCAGATGATCATCTGACCCTACTGGTATAGGGGCTAGGAGGATAACACATATATTTAATATGTGAGTAAGTCATTAAGGAAGATCTAAAAGGAAGGAATTGTTGGCTATATTATCTAGAGGAAAATTGGATGGCATGATTAGGGCATATCATTCGACTTTTTACGTGGCCTTTTCTCAAGAGAAAAACATTCATGTCACTCAGAGGATTGAAATGACTATTCTTAATGAGAAGTTAAATGTTTATGGTGAAGCTCAGCATTCCAGAAATGCCTGCAAGGTCAATTGTCATTGCACTTGCAGAAGTTAAATCAGGCTAGAAAGTCTTTTCCCGGAAAGCTGTGCTGAATTGGTGTAGATTTTTAAAAATTTTGTGTTATTTTCAACTCAATGATTCTTCTAATTTTTGAGAAACATATTATTAACAAGCTTAGTCCTGCGCGGGAGGCTTGAATGGTGCTTTTGAGGTGAGGAGGGTTTGTAATTCTATTCAGAAAATCAATTTTCAGAGTCATTTCACAAAGAATGGCTAAGGGTGTAAAGGAAACATTTAACACCTTCTAAGTTCCCCTAACAAGATTTTGACAGAAATGTTTTAAAAGAAACTTTTAACCTTTCCATATGGAGCTGCTCACCATTTTACAGGTCTGATTCTCAGGGAGACCTGACCACCACACTGTATGACAGCATGCACGCAGAATTCTGCATGTTTGTCAAGCTCAGCAGGGTTCACAGAGAGACCACGGCAAAGCAAGAGGTTGAATTATTTTTTCCAGCTCTCCTTTGAGAGTTCAGAACCATCTACCCTAACATCTTTAGTTGTTGCTACTGTCACTGATTTTAGAGGTGTTATAGAGAATGTGTTTATCCCCATTTACAAAGCATAGGGTAGAAGGACTATATTTGCATACTTATGCTAACTTATGCTAACTTTTGGTGACTACTGGAGAGGAGATTTTCCCCATACAGGAATTTCCTCACACAGACATTTTGTCTTGGATCCTCTTAGGAACATAGGACTTGCACAAAAATCCACCAATAGTAATTCTTTATCTACCCAGCTTACCCAATTTTGGCAATGAGTTCCACGTGACATAGTTTGTATCTTTATAGTGTAGCACGAAACTACACCAGGAAAGCACAAGCAGCTTTCGGAACAACTTCTTTTTCTTTTTCATTCGTAAAGGTTCCTTGTTCAATATAGAAAGCAGAAGTTCTTTTCAGAAAGAAAAAGAAAAGATAAAAGACCTTAAAGCTGTGGGGCAGTGTGTCATGCACAATAATTGCTTGGAAAAGTCCCATGGATTTACACTGTGGTTTCACTGAATCATCA